GGACGGACGGACGGACGCGTGGCCGGCCGGCCGGACGGACGGACGCGTGGCCGGCCGGACGGACGGACGCACGCGTGGCCGGCCGGACGGACGGACGCACGCGTGGCCGGACTGACGCGTGGCCGGCCGGACATCTCTCTGCGAGTAATATGATTTTAAAAAACTTGACTATATGCCTTAGAAGTGACACACTCAGAAAGAAAATCGATAAATTTGGCATGGAGAAGCAGTTACCACTCTTCAGATTTATAAAATAGATGGTTAACATTAAACATCGTGAATTGCTCGAGTTATTTTTTCACTTTAATTGCAGTTAATTAATAATTATCATTATTGCTATTGTTAACACTTATTGTTATTGTTTAAAAACAATCATTGTGTATGATGAAAGAGCTTCTCTTTGAACATTGTTGCTCTCTGAGCAAACGTCAAAAAGCGTCGACGTTCGAAAACAAAATGGCTGGGTCATTCCGAGGCCAAGATGGCCGGTTAGAAATGATTAATTTACTAGGGATCTCAATAATCAATCCTTTCGCATAAAAGCTTGCATTTAAAAAAGTTCTTTAAAACTTTAGAGGCTTAATCTTCACAATCGTAATATTCAAGGGTTCAAACGTTAATGTTAGAGCAACATTACTATTTAAAAGACACCATGAGGATCTTGGGAGTTGCGCGTGCGCAGTCTTGCTCTACCGTGGGGAACTGTTGCTCTCCATTTTGTTTTGCAGTCTGATAAAAGTGAAGTGCCCGTGGACTGTGAACACACTGAAACTGATCGATAGGTTTGTGCTTCGCAGGACTCATATTTTGTGTGTCCTCTATTTTGCAGTACCTACTGTAGTTGTTTTAGTTTAAAATTGTATCAAATTTGTTTCTCGAGGAAGAAACTAAGGTTTCATTGCAGTGTAATCACTATGTTGCAAACAGGTCGTATTAATTTGAAAGAATTTTTAAAGGTGGACACCAGTATACGTTTTTTCTATTTTTTGAGAAAGTATTCCATAAGAAAATACTTCAGTGTTTTTTAGTGGCAACATAGTTGTTACATACTTCAAGGAATTAAGTAGGAATGTCATTAACAGAATCTCTCAATATCTAAATGTGTGTGGTAATGACACTGCTACTTGTCAAAGTCAATGTGTCTGAAAATACATCATTAAAGCGTTCTTTTCTCAAAAATAGGAAACTGTAGTACTTTGGTTCTTAGCACTATAAAGATTTTTTAACTTATTGTATGTCTTATATTTATCCCAAAAAGGTAGGATAGTATTGAAGGTCAGGTAGATAATCTTTTAATTTCTGACCACCTTCAGTCTTTGTCATATTATAACAGGGGTACTTTTAACAATAAGCCAATTCAGTGGTTCATTTTCTGCTAGTATAATATTTACATTCATATATTGAAAACTGTTGAATTCTTTACTAATGATTTTTTTATTTGTTTAGAGGTCTTAAAGCTTTGTTAACTGATATGGAGATTTGTTTTATGTGTAGATCTGCATGGTACCAAACACCCTGTGACATGTTGCCACATAAACATGAAAGCTACTTTTGTAATGTGAAACCAGAAAGAAATGATGAATTTGATTATGATGAAGATGATAATCATGGTGATGGAATGGAACAAGTTTGGTTGAAGAGGTAGTTATTTTCAGTTGAAGGATACTTTAATTTCAGTCCCTGAATATATATATA